GCTTCATCGGCCATGGCGATCGGAGAGAATGTTTGCGGCTTCTCTCCTCGCCATCTGTGTCTCTTTCCTCTAACTCTATCGAGCAAAACGCACGCAACTCTGAGAGAAAGAGAGAGACTTGCATAAATTACAGAGAGTCATAAATATATATATATATATATGCATATCTAGACAATTGTACGAGCATAATGTCTACATTGGATCCTGTCGATTCGTTCCTCTTCTCTCTCAGCAGAGCCTTTTGCAGTCCGCTAGCAGTTTTTGTCCAGATCCAGGTTTGTTTCCTCTTCTCTTATTCTTTTCTTTTTTTTCTTTTGGTGATTTTTTCGTCCGTTCAGATCCCGGTCCTTTTGGTTGCGGAGAAATTTCGGCGGAAATTTTATTTCTTTGTGTTTTATTTCTATTTGGTGTCGCGAGTGGGCTAAATTGCCTGGCACAATTGAAATTCGGGTCCTGAAATTGCCAAATCCTCAGATTCGATTTTTGAATTTCGTTTATTTTAGTTTATGGCGGCATTATTTATTTATTTATTATTATTATTATTACAGACGATTAAGCTTCCAGTTTTATGAATTTGGAGTAATTTTCGATTGCTTTGTGAAATCAGTATTAGTTGCATAATGGGGTCAAGTATTTGATTTCTGGGTGATGGAGAAGTGAGAAATCCAAAAAATGAGTCAAAAGCTAAAAACTAAACTGATTTTAATGATTTTTGTGTTTAGAGTCGACTATGTTACTACTAGATTTCTCAATAACTTAGGTGATTATGTATTTAAATTTTATTTTCTAATTGAAATATGACTTTCCCTTTAGGAAGTTCCAATTAGACTCTTTTGGGCTCTGAAATTTGGAAGTTCAATATCATTACAATATTTAGACTAAAATAGTTAGCTATAGTTCCTCTTGGTGGGTTATACTTACACATATCTAATTTCTTTATTGGTGTTGTAGGGATGTCTGATCTGTTTGATACTTGCTTTCGGATGGGCTTGTGCAGCTTATGTCAGGTACTTGAATGAATATTTGACTTCAGTTTAGTATCAACCACTGGCATGACCTCTATGCTCATTCAATGTTAAACTGCCAATCTGTGCTTGATGATCAACTTTTTCGTTTTCGTTCTGTTTCCCTTATCAGGAATAGAGAGATTAGAAGGATGAAAGATAGTGTGCAACGTGGAAATAGCTTTGCTTTCCTTTGCCATGATATCACTGAACTTGAGCACTCAAATCAGCTCAAACGGCCAAGCGTATCAGTTGTTATGCCTTTAAAGGGATTTGGAGAACACAATTTACACAATTGGAGGAGCCAGGTCAGAATAATGCATTTCTCTGCTCCTGTAAATAGATAGTGTTCTTCATCAATAATTTTTTACTTATAAAGCTAAGTTTACTAGGCATGGTATCCATTAGTATTTTTGTTTATAGATTTACAGTTTTGCACACATAGATCAATCTTCCGATAGGGATGCTAGAGTCTTCTTTGCTTTAGAGTGTGGGCTGGTTTGTGAGTTTATATTCTTGTTTAGGAACAAAAAAGGATTTGAATCCAGTTACAATGTGTTGGACACTTTCTGAATGGTTAGGCTATCATGTGAAGTGTTCAAGATTCTAGTTAAAGATGGTGGCTAGCAGAAATCCTTGTGCTAGCTGATTTTTAATATGTTAAATTTGTATTCAGGGTTTTCCCTTCAATATGGTTTTGACTGTTCATGGTTTCGTTTTGTTAATGAACACAGATCACTTCTCTCTATGGTGGTCCCTTAGAATTTCTTTTTATCGTGGAAAGTACAGACGACCCTGCTTACCGTGCAGTATCTATGTTACTATCTGAGCTTAAGGTATAATAACTCTCAGAAATCATCGGTTTTTTTTAATATAAATTATCTTAATGTTCAGAAGAAGAAAAAAAGGTATATCCAGGACAAAATCATATAACATATGCTTGGAGGCAAAACTTTATCCCTTCTGGATATTTTTTGAAAGTGCTTTTTGTTGAAACATAACTTTGTTACAAATATCCTTGTGCTTACATATGTGCCTATGTGATCTATTTTAACTGCTTACATGTTTACCATGGCTCCCTTACAGGATGAGGTTGATGCTAAGGTTGTTGTAGCTGGCCTTTCAACAACCTGTAGTCAGAAAATTCACAACCAATTGGTATGTATCTGGTAATGCCAGCTTTCCTACTATGCTAGTGCAATAGCAAGGTCTTACGCAATTTGCATTTTATTTTATCATACAATCCTGTGTCTATAATTGTTCTCTATGCTGAGATGCTTTTCTTCATGGAATACAGGAATATAAATTTGTTACTCAGTGTTAATAGTGTAGGGTTATATGTCTAGACTATATAATGCATCAGACTGATTGTTTCCTTTGAGGATTCATGTAGAAGGCAAAGGAAAGCTGCACTTACAATTAGATCTCGAAATCTGAGCTTGAGACTTATTGCCTATTCTTGTTTAAATTTCCTGCATACATGGTTTGAACTTTGAAGCATGTGATTCTCTAGTGACTAATCATGTCAGTTACTAGATCGTAATGTCCTTTTGCAGGTTGGAGTGGAGAAAATGCACAAAGACAGCAAGTATGTATTATTTTTGGATGATGATGTCAGGCTTCACCCTGGGTCAATTGGAGCCCTAACAGCTGAGATGGAGAAAAATCCTGACGTATGATTTTTTTTTTCTTTTTTTTCTGACACCATATTCAGCCTATCTTATACTTCTGTGTTTTGTTAACTGTGGGTTCAGTTATGGTGTTAATTCTGTTTGAAATGACATGCAGATATTTATCCAAACTGGATACCCTCTTGATTTGCCATCGGGAAGCTTAGGGAGTTACTGCATTTATGAATATCATATGGTACCTACTTGTCCCCCAGAATTTGTCGTATACACGTATCTGTAATTTAATGTTACTACTAGTGTATATAATTTATGACCAACAAATGAACCAATGTTTTCAACCTTAGAACCAATGCTTTTACTTCTCTTGTAGTCTTAGTTCATGTTTTCTCTTGAAATTTTAGAGGCCAAGTGATTGTGTGAGAACTTTGTTTACTAATGCTTATACAATTGATCTTCTGTACGTGTGATGGCATCTGTGTGTATGCAGTAGGGTTAGATAAAAGTGACATTTAGTAGTTATTTCTTGTATTTTATCTTAAGCTTCCTATACTATATATCTTCATTGTAGTCTGACTCCTAGTTATCTGGAATTTGTTTTGTCTGCAGCCTTGCTCAATGGGCTTTGCTACTGGTGGAAGGACATTCTTTCTGTGGGGAGGGTGCATGATGGTAAGTAGCAGTTACCTTCTTGAAGTCCTGTGTGCGCTATAAATCAACATGCTGTTTTAACTGCTTTAAATTGTTTGCAGATGCATGCAGATGATTTTAGACTTGATCGCTATGGCGTGGTCACAGGACTTAAAAATGGTGGTTACTCGGATGATATGACTCTTGCAGCTATAGCCGGTAATATACTCATTGATGTTTTCTATGCCGCTGATCTTGTCAGATTACATTGTACCATGTTCTCCTGGAATTTGGTCATTCTTTAAGTTGAAACCTTAGGTTTATGATACTGTCATTACCTTCATCCAAGGCTTTCTCCATGATTTGGTTCAGTATGGTCCAAAGTGGCTATTTATTATTGCTGATGTTATTGACCTTTTCCAGGAGCTCATAAGAGGCTGATCACGTCACCCCCAGTCGCTGTGTTTCCTCATCCACTTGCAAGTGATCTTAGTTTTTCGAGGTTTGTAATGCACACTTGTTCAATTCCAAAAATGTCATATTTCATACTTACATCTTTGGACTTGTAATGTAGGTATTGGAATTACTTGAGGAAGCAGACATTTGTATTAGAATCATATACAACCAAAGTTAACTGGATAATGAACCGTGCATTGTTTACCACCCACTGCTATCTCTCATGGGGATTTGTAACACCATACTTAATGGCCATTGTTCATATCACCGCAGCCCTGAGAATGTATATTAAGGGGTATTCAATCGAGGAAACAACCTTCACTTTTGGTGGTGAGCACTCTAGTTTTCCTGATTAGGTAGGTTAGTGGCATTGATTTAAACCATACTTACGCAGAAAATCAGTATGCAAGATAAAGTTTGATTCTCTCTCTATTTATCCATCCATCTATCTATCTATCTATCTATCTATCTATCTATCTGGAATTAGAAGTTCAAGGTGGACATGTGCACCATTAATTTGAAACTTATTTATGCAATATTTGGAGTTTTAACCATTCATCCACCCTTTCCCAGGATTGAAACTGGTAAGCTGCCTGGCTGCATGCACATTGATCGAACTTCTTTCAATGTGGAACTTGACCAGGATAGAAGTTCATCTATGCAACATGTTATCACCAGAGGCACCTAAACTCTCACTTGCTTCTTACAACTGGGGACTTGTAAGTATCTCTGTCTATACAGTGGAAGGACTCTGAATTTCATTATGGATGTTCGTATGTCTTGAATGCCGTCTATTATTGTATTCTATCACCATTTAACTCCAGTACTCTAATATGCATGCACTGTTTTTGGATTGGGCAGGTATTTATTGCAATTCTAGTAGATAATTTTTTATACCCCATCTCTGCCTTCCGTTCACATTTCACCCAGTCAATAAATTGGTCTGGCATTCGATATCACTTAAAGGATGGGAAGATATTCAAGGTATGCTGGCTAAGACCTTTCTTAACTTTAAGAACTTTAGGTTTTTCCCATATATAATGCAAAAAACTATAAGACATTGTATTTTATGAATGATTTTTTATATATTTCCACTGAAGATTGAACGAAGCAAAGATATGGGTCCAGTATATACTGATTTGGGAGGAAAGCATTTAGGAAAGAAAGGAGCTCCTCCAAAATTGTCATTCCTCAGCTCTTTGGCCAGAAGTTTGGCACAATGGCGTCAGCCCAAGAAATATGATAGCTAGTAGTAAAGTAATGTGTTTGAAGAAACGTGTCTTTTGATCAGTTTGCCCAGCTTTCAAGATTGGATGGGAGACGGAGAATGTTAGAAGAAAAATTTGTTGGGGTTAGATTGGTTGGCCATTCAATTATTGATTTATTTAAGTGCTCTAGATATTTTAGTCTCATTTTTTAAAACCCCATTCAATCCGTTTGATTCTTCAGCCTCAACCCCCACCGTCTCGGTTGATTGATTTGTAATTTGCACTCTCTTTTTCTTTTTTAGTCATGTAACTTAAATTCTTATACAGCTGAGATTCAAATGATAGCCAGTAGAGATTTGATTTCATGTGCTTATGCTTTTACGTGCAATCCCATCTTGGTCTGTGATTCTATTCGGTCGGCATGTAAACTGTAAAAATTAACTAGATATTACTAAAACGTATGTCTGCACCGTGCCCTTTCAATTTAGTCAGCAGTTTATTGGAAAAGCTTCTCACTGTTAGGACTAATACAAACCTAATCCATTAACAGGTGATAAATGCAATACTGAAACCAACTGGAAAATGTTCGTATACAGAAACAATACTGCAATTAAGACAAAATTCAAATAGAAGAATAGATCTCAAGGTACATTATCTCACTGATCATATAAAATTACACTCTAAATGGTCACAGCTTCAGATCACCGATATAAAAGTCGTTAATCATGTCAAACACTCGGGTAGCATGCTGCGGCCTACCATATGAAAAGTAAAGACAACATGGAAATGTCAGCAACATCCCTGCCATAACTTTTCATAAGCAAAGATATGTGCTAATTTAAAACATAAGTAAATGATTAGGAAGATAAAAGGAAGAACAAGCAAATTTTAGTTTTTGACAGAGTTCATGAATTTCCAGCTCTCCTGTTTCAGAACTATTTATGTAAGCTACAGATCAAGTAATTATTACCACACCATTGGAGATGCCAATAAACAACATAATTTTGCACAAAGTAAGAATACAACACATTAGCCAGAGCATGAGAGATGTCAAAATAGGGGTTCATTTTCCACGTTTGTAGTGCCATTCTAAGAGAAAAACCATTACATCAATTGCCAGTATCTTGTCTGCAATTTATTTTCCTTACAGCCAGTTCAAGGCCTCACAAGAGGGTTGACGAGATACCAAGTTAAAACCTTTTGTCTTAAACCCAAGTAGATGGGGGACTAAGGCTTCACAGAATATTTTTCAGTCACATACATCAACCCAGCCAGTGAAAAAATTGAAAAGATCAGTTGGTGAAACTTCACCATAAATTTTTTGGAATGGATGGAGAAAACATGCTTATTATTATATCCAAACATCTAATGACATGGAAAACATGCGATACTTACCCGAAAAACCCTTCAGTTGAGTCATCCCCAGCATGATCTAAGATGGCATCACCACCTGGGTGCTCCTCTACATATGAGGTAACATCATATACCTAATTTTTATTTTTTTGGGTTACACAAGGAATATGCAAGTGTTAATATACAAGAAACACAAGAGACCCAAGCAAATGAAAAATCGTTATGTTACCTTGTCTTTGATAATTACCCAACAATCTGTTCTCTTATTATGCAAAGAGACTTCAGCTTTAGTGTACATTCTGACTGGCTAAAGAAAACAGGTCATATGAAATGAAAAAAGAAGCAGCAAAGTCAATAAGCATGTCTGACAATGAAGATAATACAAATATTTTCTTTGGGTGTTATTAAGAAATACACTTACCTTATCATATGTAACATTTGAATCAACTTTTTTTGCATGCCCTGCATTCAGAAAGATTTTCTTTTTTAACAACTCAAACTTGAAGAAGATATATTTATCAAGATTCAAGCTTTTAGTCTAGTAAGACCTTTTTATTTTTCTTTTTCAAGAAAGACAAAAAAGGAAATACCATATTTTGGGCCTCGTGGGATCAAGATGAAAGCTACCAGAAGAATAACCACAACCAGTGCGACCGCAGCTATCATCATATCTCAAGCTGAGCTCCTCAGACTGCTGAATCAGAATTCTAAAACCAACAAATGAACAGATCAGAAATGTGGTAAAACTTCACACAAGCTCAAGCTCCTTGCACAATCGAATCCAATGAATGCTAGAAAACAAGAACATAAACATACAAGGATAAGGCAGGCATTGTTTGGGTTTTCATTTTTGTAACCCAGCAGTTGACTAACTTTCTAAGAAGAGCATCAAGTGATCTCAGAAAAACAACTGAGTGTGTGGGTCATGAAAATGTGTTTAGAATTTTCAGCGGTTTTAAAGTTTCTATCTTTTTTAATCCGACAAGCAATTAGTAAATAGAAGGATGAAGATGAAGAGAGAAACCTGCAGATTTAAGGAGTGGATTTTCCGGCGATGGTGGACTGAGAGATTGAAAGGCGGACGCGCCCTCAGAGATCTTTAGAAGGAGAATGCCTATGACTCGGACTCCCTCCTTCGTGCTGAGATAGTGTGGCCCGTAGATGATAGTGGTACACAATGGGCCTGGAGCAGGTGGCCCAATTGTAGTTCTGCAATATTTGGACATAGGTATGGACCATACTAATTAGATTACATTAATAAGGCATGTGCAGATTAGGATTGACGAAGGTAGTGTGTTCGACTCCTTAACCCAAGTTCAATTCGGGATCAATTCCTCTCTTGTACATTAGAGTAGTTTGAAAGTCACTTCGGCCAAAAAAAAAAAGATTGCATTAAGTCCCAGTGTATAAACCCATTAACATAACAACCCAATACTGTACCATGGGGTTCTAGGACGAATGAGGCTGAAACTTGTCTGAACCCACAATCGGGTTCACACTTCAAACTTGAAACTCGTCTGCAAGGTTTGTCTGTCCTTTGCCGACTATCTTGCTTCAATCAAATTATTATTAAGACAGTTGTCCCGCTCTAACAAATTTTCCTCCACCGAAAGCCACATTATCTTAACACAAAGTACTTCAGGGAATAGAATAAAGTTGCAAACGGGGAATCAATTCCAATACAACTTTTTTTCCTTGAAAAACAAACACAAAAACAGTTTCCTTCCCAGCAAAGAAAGAAAGTGACCACAGCAAAACATGGGTTGCTTCAGTTCTCGCAGTTCCACATCCAAATCCTCATCTCCCATAGAACCACCACCCTATCAAATTCAAAATCAACATCAAAATGCTGCTCAGCAATACCAAGAACCCCAAAATCTCCAACAACAAGTCCTTCTGCAAATCCCAGGATGTAGAGTTCACCTCATGGATGAAGGAGAAAGTATAGAACTTGCAAACGGTGAGTTCATCCTTGAGAACATCTTGGACGAGAATATTTCTCTGGCCACCATAATCAAAGTTGGTGATGAACTTCAGTGGCCCCTGACAAAAGATGAGCCTGTTGTAAAGCTTGATGCTTTGCACTATCTCTTCTCTTTGCCCATGCATGGTGGTGATCCTCTGAGCTATGGTGTCACTTTTCCAGAGCAGTATGAAAGCAATTTGGGCTTTCTGGATTCGTTTTTGAAAGAGCACTCTTGCTTTAGCGGCTTGAGCACATCCACCAAAACTAACAAAGGTGTTGATTGGAAGGAGTATGCTCCAAGAATGGATGACTACAATAATGTGTTGGCAAAAGCAATTGCAGGAGGGACTGGCCAGATTGTCAAGGGGATCTTCATGTGTAGCAATGGTTACACCAATCAGGTCTGTTTTTGCCCTTAAAACCCTACAGCATATATTAGTACTAGTCATAACATAACAACAACAAAAAATTGTTTCAAGATTGTTTTTAAAAATTTGCTTCTGAAATGTATCATCAATCAATCAGGTCTGTTTTCAGTTCATGTTTCTACAATTAGTCAAGTAGTTGTATGGTAAGGTGGAGTAAGGTATAATCAAATGAACACCCTCTGGGTTCATTTCTTGGAAACGTCTAACAATTATTTGAATGATCATGGGAGATGAAAATAGCTTCAAAAAGGAGGGGAAGTGACATTGGCTCGTCCTGTTGAGGAGAAAAGTTATGTCAAGGAACAAGGAAGTAATAGCGGCAAAAATTCTGGTGCCAAAAAGAAGAGTGAAATCAACAAGAGCTTGAAACGGTAGCCCTCCAATTAAACACATTTTCTTGTAACACATTATGTGATCATAAAAGGGTTTTTCCTCAAGTTTATTTTTTTTTCTGTTGCTAATTCAGTGTGAGAAAGTTGTCAAAGATGACATCAAAGCTCAGCAAATCTATGCTTGATGGGGTTGGCATTGCGACCGGATCAGTGATGAGGCCTGTGGTTAACTCCCAGGCAGGGAAGGCATTCTTTGCCATGGTTCCAGGACAGGTCCTCTTGGCTTCCCTTGATGCCGTCAGTAAGTTGATCAAACTCATATTACATTCTTTACATTGTCAAGGTCACAACAATATTTACATATTAAAATGGTCCATCCTGCAAAACTGCAGATAAGATTTTGGATGCAGCTGAAGTTGCAGAGAAGCAAGCGCTTTCTGCTACCTCTGGTGCTGCTACTAGAATGGTCAGCAACAGGTAATGATTAATGGCAAAGAGAGATATATACACAATTCAAGGGTCTTGAAGATTATTGTTGAAGTTTGGTATATTTGACTTGGATTTTGGTATTAGGTTTGGGGAAAGTGCAGGGGAGGCAACTGAGGATGTGTTTGCAACAGCAGGGCATTGTGCAAACACTGCTTGGAACATCTTCAAAATAAGAAAGGCCATCAATCCAGCATCATCTGTCTCTACAGGAGTATTGAAGAATGCTGCCAAAAGCAGAAGCAGAAGTTCTTAAAAGCCAATTTGAGATTTATTACTCGTCATTCACTGGAGGTTGTGGTAAAAATGTATGAAAGAAAATTCCTCAATAGATTGTTGGTCCTAATCTTGAGTCTTCACAACCACTGTGTAGAGGTCAAGATTCTTCATGAATGTAAACTCTATTGGGGTGTGTGAATTTCTCATCAAGTTAAAACTTTCTTCTTCCATCTTTTTTTCAGTATAAGTATAAGCAATAGTCAAGAGGGTTCGAACCGAAGACTTATGATTTGCAAATCAATGTCGTTTTCTTTCACACACACAAATGATTTCTTCTCTCTCTTTTTTTTTGTTGTTGAATGTGTTGGGTTATGAATTTATTGAGCTATGAGCTAAATTGACTTATAAAAAGTTGACAAAAAATATAATGGGTTGGGAGGGAACTAGCCTTGCAGCTTGAGGTAGGCTCCTTAGAGCATTTTCAGCAGCTAAGGCTGGACTCGATTTTTCTTCACTTTTAACACCAAATCCTCATACATTTTCTTCTCATTCTACTATTATTCACTTTCTACTCAATATTTTTTTTCACTTCACACCTCCCACACCAGATCTTCCCTACATTTTCATTTCTCACATTTTAGATTTCATTCTCCATTCTCAAATGGCAGACATGCAAGAGGTTTTAGAGAGGCAAAGCGAGAAACTAGAGAAAGAAGGCGTAGACGAGCTGCATGCAAAAGGGCGCAAAGAGAACTAGATCAACAAATTGTCATAGCAGTGGCTTTGCTTGATGAAGAAAACCAGAGCCGTCGTGGTTCACGAGAATGCCGTGCCCCGAATGTGGACAGACATAGACATTCTCGGGGTAAGAATCTTATAGAATATTATTTTATCCCAAATTCTCTGTATTTTGATGTTCATTTTCGAGCTCGATATAGAATGCAACCTCATTTGTTCAATAAAGTCATGCATGATATTTGCAATTATGATGAATACTTTGTTCAGACGAAAAATGCTGCTTGAAATTTGGAACTTCTTCCCAAGCAAAAGTTCACAGTTGTTATACGAATGTTGGCATATGGGTCATCTGCTGATCAGGTGGATGAGATTGCCCGGATGGGGAAGTTCACTGCTTTGGAGAGCTTTGTAAGATTTTGTGATGTAGTGGAAACTCTATACACCAGGGAATACCTGCGCAGACCTACGCCCAGGGACATGCAACGGCTTCTACAAAAAGCCGAAGCTCGAGGATTTCATGGAATGATTGGTAGCATCGACTGCATGCACTGGCAATGGAAGAATTGCTCAACTGCTTGACAAGGGGTTATGGAAATAGGAAAGGGCTGAAAAGTATCATCCTTGAAGCCGTTGCTGGATTCGATACATGGGTTTGGCACGCCTTATTCGGAGTTACCAAATCTCAAAACGACTTGAACGTCCTAGGTCAATTCTCGGTGTTCAATGATTTTTTGAGAGGTGAAGCCCCGAATATCACCTATGAAATCAACAATACCGTATGCCATAATGGGTATTATCTAGCTGACGGCATTTACCCGAGGTGGACCACATTTTTGAAATCAATTCCACATCCCCGATCCCATAAGCAAAAATTATTTGCTGTATATCAAGAGGGTTACAGAAAAGATATGGAGAGATGCTTTGGTATCCTTCAAGCCCGGTGGGCTATTATTATGGGCGCAACGTGTCTATTTGACGATGAGGTGCTTAGGAGCATAATGATAACATGCATCATCCTCTATAACATGATTGTGGATGATGAGTATGATTACGATGTTGCTGACATGTATGAACTAGATCCTATGAACACGCCCTTGACACGAATTTATGAAAAACTCATGGGGCCAAATGGAGAACCAGTGCAGCATGAACCGTTGGTTAGAGACGGTAGTTTCATGCCTCGTATGATTGATCGTTATACGGAGATGTAATCGTCGTATATTCATGAACGACGTCAAATTGACTTGATGAAGTATTTATGGGCGGTGAAATGCAATGAATGTGAATGAAGTGAAGTGAAGACTTTTTTTTAATTTATTATGTTTATATTGTATTTTTAGTTATGCTTTGTTTTTTTAATGTTTTGGTTGTGATTTGTTTATTTTGTATGCTTTGGTTGTGGTTTGCTTTTTATGTATGGAATGTTTTGAATAAAAAGGTATTTTATTGAATGTTTTTTTTATTCACTAAAAGAAAATCAATACAACTAATAAAATAAAATCTTATCCGAAAATATTATCCAAATTAATTGTTTAGGTAAAAAAAACAAAAAAAATGAATATTATTTGTCATGGCAAATAGCAACTGCTAGAAACACACATTGCTTTTTGTAATGACAGCCATTATTCATGTGAATAGTAGCTATCCTAGCCTCCTTTTGCCATGATAAAAGGCAAACTGTTAGAAGTGCTCTTACAGGATATTTCCAAACTTCCTTAATTTTCGGGTGGGGCTGAAATTCAATAACTATCCTTTACTAATCATGGTAAAAAAGAAGAAGAAAGAAAATGGGTATTTATTTTAGTGATTCTTTATCCAATTTGAGAGCCTTTTTACTGTTCTTTTAGTCAGAGACACAATTGTACTTGATTACTATTCATGGTAAAAAAACATAAACGACCATACTCGTGCAAACTGGCATTATGTACATCATCCTGCAACTAACGTACGACACGACACCGTATTTAGCTTGAGAAAAGTAAAAGTAAAAACAACCTATTGAATTCCCAGTTTCCACTTTCGGGAGCCGCAACTTGTAACCCTGTAACTCGCAACCGCCGCTGTTTCGACAAAAATAAAAAACCCAGTTTCCAACAGAACACTCCCAAGTTTCTTTTTATTTTATTTTAATTATTTCAATTTTTTGAGTGAAAAGAAAGAGTCGAAGTTTCAGAGTTCAATGGAAGACGACGACGCGAAGCAGCTGAGCATATACAGGGCGGCGAGGACGATAAAGCGGAGGGAAAACACCCTCTACAACGCCCTTAAATCCATCTACGACGACTCCATCTTTGTCGGCGAAATCTCGCAGCTTTGGCCCGACCTCCCTCTTCTCGCTAATCTTCGATGTGGCCTCTGGTACTCTTCCAAGTTCCACTCTACTTGCTACTTCAAATCCACTGACGGCCACAACAATAACTGGTCCTTCAACACCTCTCGCCTCAACCTCCATGTCGCTCAACTTGCAGGTACAACATACGACTGTCATGTTTATATGTTTGCTTAACTTTCTCTTCTCTCTGGTTTTTTTGTTTTGTTTGTCTGTTTGTTTTGATTTTGGGTTTTTGTTGTTGAATTGGGTAGGACAGAAAGGAGGGTGCTTTATTGTGGATGCAACTCGGAGAGGGAAGAGGTTTCCAGATAGCATGTCGAAGACGATACCCATTTGGACCTGCGTTTTGAACCGATCTATTTCTAACCATTTGAATAAAATGAGTCAATCTGCTCAGTTCAATGATGGGGTGAGTTGAAAACCAAAAAACAGAAGAAAACAGAAAGAAAGAACCCAACTTTAGTGTTGTTTGCAACTCTGGTTGCTCTGTGAAGCCAGAGTTTGATATGTTTTCACAAAATTTCAATCTTATACTAATTGGATTGAAGTGTGATGAATTGGGTCAGTTTGCTCTGTTTCTTTGAGCAATTCTGATATATAACTTTTATATTCGAATGTATCATTATTGCCGAAGTTGTATACATATGGTTGTCAAAATCATGACTTTTTCTTTAACTTTCCTTGCTTATAATCAGGAGGTAAGTACTTCTGATGAACAACATTGTGAAGATACAAGACAGACCAGTGTTGGTTGGGATTGTTCCTTGCATCTTCCTCTTTGGGTTTCTGAAACAGAGAAAGCTTCAATTGAGGATCGCTTAGACGAATGGACCCGACAGTTGGAAGCCAGTGGAGCTGACGTTGCCTCCCTTGCTTCTTTATTGAAAAAGCCACTACGCCCTCTATGGATATCACAAAAGACTGTCATTTGGTTGAACGAAGTTCCGGACCATGATTCATGGGATTTCACACCAATCATTCTTGTTTCTGCCTCTGCCTCTAATGGTGTTGTACAACAACACAGGACTAGTTCAGAATTTAGCTGGAATTACATAGCGGGAGCAGGTGATGATGAAGAAAGCTGGGCTAGGGGTTTAACACCTACCCTCTTCTGGAACCATGCCTATGAAATTATAAATGCAGGACCTGTTTTGTGTAATCAGATGGTAGCTGATATGGTCGAAAAGGATCGAGTGTATCGTGCTCGAAGGGGACAAATTGCCCCTCAGGTCACTGTCAAGGCCTCCAAGTTGGTAGAAAACTCAGTTCATTGTTTGCAGGATGACTCAGTGTTGCCTTTAGATATTTCAACTATAAATATTGATCTAAATTCTTCTGATGAAGATTGTACTTTATGTTGGCTGGGTTCAACAAGTCTTGCTGTAGGCAAATCTCAAACTGGTATGCTCAATTAAGAGCTCTTATTTTTTGTTAGCATCCGTAATCCAACAACATCACTTCATACAAGCGAACTCTTATAAGCATATGAATTTTATGGGCATCTTATACAGACATCTTGTTAGAGTAAGGTTCTCTTGCTCTGGCAACATAAGATGCTTACTTTGTCAAACTTTTAATCTGGACTATTGATCCGCATAATTCTAATCTGATTATGTGGTTCAGATCTATAGTCTGGCAAGAGAGCAATTCTCTGCTTTTGGCCTCTGCTTTTGGCATACGTTCTTATGTAATCTGATTCTCCCTTTTGTTTCTCATTGATATCTGGCTTTTGTCAGTAGCATTAGCTAATCATCAATTCATTCACTTTTCTTTTTGTTATTTTTATATGGCTGACCTTGGTTTACCGTATTTGGTGCAGCTGCAGCATCTAAAGTTGATTGTATATTAAATTGTGATCAAGAGTCCATGTCTGCCTCTCTTTGGAACGATAAAGTATATCTACATCTTCCTATGGTGGTGAGTTTAAAAGAATGACAGGACAACATTCCTACTTTCGTGTTCATTGTGTATGTATTCCCCTACGGCCCGTTTGATAACCATTTCATTTTTAGTTTTTAGTTTTCATTTTTTGTGCTAGAGTATAGAGGAAAATGAGAGTGAGAATGGGAGTGAGGATGAGATTGAGAGAGAGAGAGAGAGAGGATGAGAGGGAATGATGGAAGGGAGGAGTAACAAAAGTGAAAACAAAAACTTGAAGGTGAAAACAATTTCAAATAGATTTCATTTTTCAGTGTTTGTTTTCACTTTTGTTACTCCTCCCTCCCATCCTCCCAATCTCATCTACCCTCCCAATCTCATCTTCTCTCTCATTCTCACTTCCATTCTCCCTCTTTTTCTTCTATATTCTAGCACAAAAAAATGAAACAAAAAACTAAAATTGAAATGGTTATCAAACGGGGCCCCTAACTTTTAATTTTTTTTGCAGACATCAAAGTTTGATCGCTTTTCCTTATTGAATAATCTCCCATCTGCTGTGAACTTTGCAAAGTTAAATCTAAGCAAAGGGAAGACCCTTTTGATTTGTTGCAATAATGGTAAGGACTTCACAGCTCTTGCCTGCCTAGTGAAATTCCATTTTGAGAGTACTTAGATGTGCCAAATGAAGGATAACGCCCTTGGAATACAATCATGACTTCCATTTGCATTACATGGCTTCCATGTTGTGCTACTTCAATTCTTCAATTTTTTATTCTTTGGATTGCTATTTGTGTCTGCTAATATCTTCCCATATCCTCTGTTTTCAGGGGAAGATATCAGTGTATGTGTCTGTCTGGCAATCTTGACATCTTTATTTGATGATGGAGGTATGCTTTCTTCATCTTGCAAGAAATTTCTTCCAATTAGATTTGAATTTGATGAGTTTTATTATTGGTTCAATCTGTTTGTGGCGTGGGAACCATTTGTGGGCTAAATCTTATGTAGTCTTTGGTTATTCAATATTGATTAATGTTTATCCCGCTTGCTGGCTTCTAATCTTATTCAAGGAAAGGCTGTAATATTTTCTGTTCTTGAATTGTTTTCTGAACTTCCTACAATTTCACCAGGAACCTTCGAGGGTGGAAGTTTCTTTAGTGAGACATGCATTACTAAATTGGAAATGCGGAGGAGACTCGTAACCATCTGTAAATATGTAGTAAATGCAAGGCCATCAAGAGGGAATCTGAAGCAGGTTTTCAGTTTTCTTAGTGGTGGAAGAGCTGGTTCGGAGAAGAGGCTTCACTCGCAAGATCAGTTGCTCGAATAAATTATGAAAGCTCGATGCTGAAATTTTGCAAGTTGAATCGGCACGGGGTTGTATAAATGAGTGAGCATTGTAACAAAGAAAGGGAACTTAGAGAAATTAGAGAATTGAGGCTTCAAGTAGGAAGAGTCACATTCATTCATATCCCATTCTTTTGCACTCTTGTGCGTTCTTCATAAGCTGACTAAGTTGATGGCAGAGTATGTTTGTTGCAAGTCGTTAATTAAAGTTAAACTAAGATTTCATTGAGAGGCTTTGAGTTTATGGCTGTTTATGAACAAAATGTGCTGTGTGAGCAGTTGGATGAAGAATCAATGATCAATAAGAAATATGCCATATGTACTTGCTTGATATAAGTGATTATCATTTCGATTGTTGAATGCAAAAAGGGTGAAAAATCAGAAATCTGGGTTTAGGGGTAAAAGGCATAGAAACAATTAATATTATTATGGTCAAGAATTTGGAGCTGATACCAATGGCCCAATGTAAAAGGCTTTGGTTAGTGTAAGAATTCTATAGTGAAGGCCTTATATATGGTCCTTAAGTGAGACCTAATCTTTTAATCGTTTGATCAAATTGGTTAGTTGTTGGCTCAAATTAGTTAGTCTAGTCCAACGGTTAGGAAATAGAACCTCACCTATAGGCCATATATAAGGTCCTCGCTATAGAATGACTCTTGGTTAGTGTGTATTCATTGGGTGGTTGAGAGTTTCGAATTTCTGCCTACATGAATAAATGTGAAGAACTCAACCAATTGAGTTATACTCCATTTATTGTATTGAATTTTTTCTATTGCTTGGCCATAATTAATTAGAAAACAGAGAGATGCTGGATAAGTATATATAAAGAGAGAGAATCCAGCAATAGGCCCCCTAGAAACCTACCTGCACCACAAATGTATATACCGGTGCTCCCTGAACAATCACACACGCCTCCACTTTATAAACTTTAATTAAGCAATAATTATTATATTATTTTTACATATTGCTTGGTCGTGCCAAAAGAAAAGATAGAAGAAAAAGGAGAGCCAATTCCATTTTTACTAGTCTTTTCGATGGCGATGGAAAGGCCTCACTTTGATTTTTTTACTTTGAAAATAATGGAGCATGTCTGCTTTTTCGATTGGCATTCGTCATCTTCGCATCTTCTTTTTTCTTTCTCTGTCGTCATCTTCTTGATCGTGTACATGTTTCAAGTCGATGGAGCTGTCAAAGGCCCATAGCTAAGCTAAACTAACACTTGTTTTTCTTCAACTTTTCCTTTGCTCTATATAAACTTGCGGACTGAGATTAAAGAAGGTAGGACCAAACCTTTTTGGCGTATTGTTACATAATCTTGTCATAATTACTAGTTAATGATGTCGATGTTTTGATTAGGACATTCATATTTGATCTAATCTAAGTAAGAATACAAACATGCATGTACGTCAAATATGTTTCTCAAATTTTAGGTATAAGAATGCGGGTTCTTGTATATTAAAATCTTTTAGATTTAATGTGGAAACTTCGCATAAAAAGTCAAACAGATTATAGCAGACGAAATTGATAAAAAGAATCCGAGATCTTGTGAGGAAACTCAGTCTGTTACTTCAGTGCAATGGTCTAAACGCGTTATTGATCACACCATGAGTCCATGACATGAAGTTAATAATGCACAAAGACAAAGTGTACTTGGCTTCCTCAGCTTGGCCGCCTCTCTGGTCTGACTCCACAAAGACACAAAGTACAAATATCAATTGTTGTTAAACCAAAGACACCGAGAAAAGCAGAAGCAAAAGCAGAAGCTGGTTTTCTACCACCTTTGGCAAGAAAAGTCACGTGGAATAGCAAGACATTCTTATAATTTGTTAGGGATTGTTGGCCTTTATATTATAGTATTATTAAAATTACCTAAAACTTTTTTATCATGGGATTAAGTACAAAATAAATATTCCATTCCATTATGGCACGTGATTCATATGCTTCTTTCTCACCATCAATAAACATTAATATACTCGTGCATATTCTGATTGTTGGATTGACTGTCTTTGACTCATATATCTAGTGAAAGATGTGCTTTTCATATATGCATGGGTTGCTTTTTCTTATTAATTTGTTTTTAATGATGATGATTAATGACCATCATTACATTTAAACTATAGTTTATAGAGGATTTAACTCTCTTCGAGTTCTAGGTGAAGGTGGGCCAACAAAATGATCGATGCCTCCACAATCTACATTGTCTCTCCGCTAGTGAAATTAATTAATTAATTAGCACCTCCTTTGTTAATTAATTGTTATAGCTAGCTAGCTATTCTGCCTATTAATTACAACCTTAGTTTGCGCCGAGAAAACCGCATTGTGAGAAATTAGATTGAAATTATAATTGGGTGAAGATGTGATGGGAGGTTGATTTTTTTATTTTATTTTTTATGGGGTTGAAAAATAAGCGATAGTATATTATTGATGAACAAACAAAAATACAAAGCAATTATGTGTTGAATATGAGTAAAACTTCTCTAGTGACTAAATACAACAACATGTTGAATTAATCTGGAGATTGATTTGGATGACTTCTCACGCTCCAACAAGAAAAACCCAATAAGTTGAAGATTTTGGAAAGTAGTATTACGTGTGCATAATGACATTAAACTGTTAATTAAGGTTCAATATGATACCGTAAAGCAAGCAAGCATATGTTAAAATTATGCGGAAAACCCCAAACCCTAAACTCTAAAATTATGTTAAAATTATGCAGAAATTCGTTGGAAGCACTTTGTGGTCAGGAGCAAGCTGAACCCTGAGAGAGGATTAATCTCACCCTTCGAGTGTGGGGACACCTCGTGGTATTTACCAAAAAAAAAAGTTTAGGGTTTTCACCCACTTTAAACATGATAAACTTAGACAATATAATAACATTTAGGCTTTTGCTTTAAGTCTGTTAAACTTGTTTTTTTAATAGTTTTTAACGAAGTGGAATTAATATAGAATGTCATATTATAATAGTAATAATAATGGCACGTTAAACACGTACGATAATCTTATAAAGAAAACAATACCTCACTGTCTCCCCTTTTTCAGAGGAATTTTAGTGAACTTATTACTACTGTCTGTGATAAAGCTAACGTGTTGTGTTCCTACAGAAACAACAGGAATCAAAGATGATTTATTCTTTTCCTTTTTTTATGAGCAAATCAGGGATGATTTTTCAAACGGAATCCACATGCCAATCTGAGAGCCTGCAAAGCTTATAAGATGCTTCTTTATCTTCCACTCCGCAGAATCATATCAAAATTACTGTGCAAAGGAAAATATATATATACACACCACAGACACAGAGTACAGATTCCAGATATTGCACAAGATACATGTTGCAAGAGTGGGAGAGATCTCATATATATAAATTGTACCTTAAAAAATAAAAATGGTATCCCATATGGTCGTGCATGGAAATGAGGGACAATTCATGGTTTTAAGAAGAATGTAATTGGATAAGAGCAAGGATGAGAAAAACCAAGAAAAAAACCTAGCACTGAAGTTTGATCAGTTGGGTAACTGTTTAATAATAAATTGACCAAATAGGTTCTGGTCTTATGACGTTTACCTTTTGAATGTTATAGAAGATGTTCTACGTTCGAATCTCATTTCCCTTAGATAGTCTTTATCATAAATTTATAGATGTAGAGAGAGTATTCTAATCAAGATGATGATCAATACTTCAAACAATAACAAGAGTAGATCAGTCATGCCAGTGGGGTATAGCTTAGTGTAGAGGTTCAAAATCCTCAAAAATCCAATGAATATTTGTGTAAACTCCCCTATGTCCAATCACTTATACTAAAAAAAAAGAAAAAAAAAAAAGAAGTGGATCAGTTACTAGGTGGTCGTGGTTGTAGAACCAAACAAAAGTGAAATGTAATGTTCAATGTTGAGTTATATACTACCTTATCAGTATTCCACAAATGGTATAAGGACAAGAATGGTGGAGCATGGACGTCAGGGGAAGATCTAAAAGATATCTCCTAGAGATCATTTCATGTATATATATGATTATATATCGGACGATCTAGTTAGGTTAGATACATACAAATACCCAAAGGTTACATATCCATCTGTTTTATGGCATGAGTGTGGAAGCCAAATCATCTACAGGTCATCATACAATTAAAGTCAATGTATTGCTAAATTAAGTATGCATCAATTGAATAAAGAGTTTGCTTTTGATTGAGTAACATAAGTCCGATTGAGTTTGTTGTACCATATATGTAGATATTGTGCCTGATCATTGATTCATATGTCGAGCATTCGAAAGAAAAAGAAATTGCAAGGAAATGTATATGTTGTGAGAGAGAGAGAGAGAGAGAGAAGAGGCTTAGACTAGGAATCCATAACAAATGCAGCTAAGGACATGGTGGTGGGATGACAGGATATACGAAATCGACATGCAGCTCCCCCAAACCCTATTAGTTTATAATTAACAAATAAAGAGGAATATGCTATTCTGAAGCGAAATAAAGTTCCCCATTTTATCTTACCATATCATTAATATTCTGGCAATCAATTAAAGGTGCTTTCTTTACAATAATTTAACCAAACAGAAACTTTTTTGTTGTTGCATTTTTCTATATATAATAGTGCGCTCAACTGATGACCTGTTAGTAAGTTAATACGTTGCTAATCACTCATTCGTGTTCACTCCACTTAAACCTGAAAGTTAAGAAAAATAACCTTTTAATTACGGGCTTTGTCTTTTTGAGCGAGGGCAGTAAAGTAATTTTTAGATGTATATATAGAACTCTAGTACCAAACCAAAGTAGTATTATATTTGTGTCTTTGCAAGACACAAATATTAATACGGTATATTAATATTACCATTTTAGCAAGGTTTTCTTGCGCAAGGTGAAATGGGCATAGCCAATGAGAGCCGAAGCAGAGAGAGAGAGAACCCCCAATGTCTCCAAGAACAACATTATATTAAACAATGACAAATCAAAAGCAGAAAATAAACGACATGAGTTCAAAGTAAACTAAACAAACCTAAAGGAAATGAAAAAGAAGGATGGGGGAAGGGAACAAAGACAAAAGCTAGGTCTGATTGGCCAGTGGGTTAGTGGTCATAGTCAACTTTGTTGAACAGTATATACTGGTCCAAAAATGGGTTGCTGCCTGCCCTCGCGTTTGGTCTCTCATGCTGTGTTGAAAGTAACAGCCACCATCAGTATCTTAATTCTAATTAAACAAACCATTACATAATTAAAGCATATGATATAA